TAGTGTGGGATGCAACAAAAGGGCGGGCTCCGCCTTCCTTTTTGATGGGCCATGGGTGTAAGAGTCCGACGTGCCCGTGTCCGGACTCCCGCAAAGCCCCTCCCCTGCTTTTGGTTCCAGTTTGTGGAAAAAATGGTCCGGACCGCTCGGCGGACCAATGCAGGCCCGCGTTGGATGGCTTCTGGGATCCGGACTGCGCGGTCCGGGCGTATGCGGCGGTTTGAGAATCCGTGTTGGAGATGCCCTTAGCACCTCATCTGAGCACATGTGCATTGAAAGGTGCCTAATCTACACCCTTCATTAACTACTATACCGCATCAGCAAAATACCTATCAAACCGTGCTAAGAAACCTGCATTGGGAGAGCCCTTAGAGCATAGTCAATAGTATAGCCAACAACTGGCTATATGGAGTTGCCACGTCACCTATATTAAACCTAGTATCCCACTCATAAAGTAGTTAGTCATACTAGTATGCTATATTAATGTATGGCCCACCTCTTTCTCTCGCAAAGGGTGTTCGAGCTCATGCTACAGTCGGCTATAAGTTTATAGCCCCCTTCCCTTTTCTATCCTCTCCTCTTTCCTCCAACTAGACATAAATTTGATGTGACATCTCTTATAGCCTGTTTACGTCTCTCAATTGTGCTTTCTCTTACCTACGCTTGCTTAATGAATATATATTTGAAGAAGAGAATAAGCCTTGACTTATGCATATTGTGCAACAACAATATGTTAGCATTGATTACACAATATTATAGACCAAACATCAATGCCCAACTAACTAGTACTCCCTCCGTCCGGAAATACTTGTCATCAAGATGAATAAAAGGGGATATATCTAGATGTATTTTAGTTCTAGATACACTCTTTTTATCCATTTTGATGACAAGTATTTCCGGACGGAGGGAGTAGCTTATAAAAAAATCCAATGCCACCCTACCTTGCAGCAATATCTCCAAGCATACCACAAACCCCATGACCATGTGCAATGATCTACATACTGACATGTAAATGAACAATGAAAAGTATGCTACTCCTAGAGAAACTTCAAAAGGAACCACCACAGGTGTTGATGGGTCCAACCATATGTTGAACTTTCGGATTTTCCCCCCAAAACCAAGTTTCGGGTCAACACCTTCAACAACGCCACAATGTGTGTAAGCACGTCGACACTGCCTCATCCAGAGACGAGATCATGTTTGTTTGACTTGGAGACTGCATAATCTTTTGTACAAACCGTCACTACGTGTAACTTCTCTACTGGCTGACGCCTTCTCGTTGGCTGGATGCCGGCGCTTAGAGAGCCCCAAGGCCCACCTATGCCATTGGAGAAAACACTAGAATCATGTTGACGATCTCGCCTCCCTGAAACTAGCCATGGCTAACACCCCCAGCGGTTCATTCCCGTCTTCGGGAGAAGGATGAGCAGTGGACAAAGGATCCTCAGCTGCAACCACCTCGTTCATGCCAAGATGCTTACATCGCCGGCCGAGAGCCCGACTATTGCCATCACCAACCACGAACCTGCCTGCCACACCCACCGACTTCGGCACACCACGACGTATAGGAGCGTTGCCACCAGATCAATCCACGCCAGGGCCACACTCGGGAACCCCACGGTATGATCCGTGCCAATCAGGCCACCACATCTCGTGGATAGCCCCATCGGCCCCTCCAATCAAGCGAGCTTCGCTCGTTGGCGTCCTACGGTGGTGGTGAGGGGGGCAAGGGAGGATGAGGAGGGTCGAGGTGGTGGCTAGGGTCTTGCTGGTGCGACCCCTCAAAGGAAGACGTGTTTTTTTCTCCCTAAGTCGGTATTGTGGCTTGCTTAATTATCTACTCCTAGTTATATTTGTGAGGGGGATTAGCTTGTAAAGATGAGCTTAAAGCAAGCAAATCTGGATCGATCAGTGTGGTAGATATGCACAAATCCTCCATTTTGACAAAAGATATTCTATAATTTGAGTTTATAAATTTGTCACAAGAAACATTAGCTGCGCGCTTGGGTTTCTTCAATCCTAAGCTTGGGGTACATTGTACTCTAGAATGAAAAATATTATTGTAAGCTTGTACGCTTTGCTGACCCAGACTCTTTTCATAGCCAATCATGTGCGCTCCAGAGTTGTCCAACCTCACTTTTGCCTAACTTGTATCTGCACCACGTCACTAATCTATATATATATACATGAACCCGTAGGAACACTAAATTCCGAAAAATAGTAAAAAAAAAGAACAAAAAAACTGACTTTTATATGAACATCAACAGAAGTTCTGACATCCTGCACAATTTCGCAAAAGGACATCCGCAGAGGTGTGTGTGCCAAAAACCGAAATTGAGTGCTCCAAAATGACACTTTTTGAGTCCTGAATTTTGAAAAAAAATATGTATAGCCCTCCACGGATGTCTTGTGAAGGTAATTTGTTTTAGAATGTCGGAACATTTGTTAATGTTTCATCTACAAAAAATTCTGATTTTTTAAATTTTATTTACTATTTTTTCAGAATTTACCGTTCATACATATATATTGTGCTCGGAAGCAGATAGTCCAGGTATATACACTGTTAAACACATTGATGAACTAAATCCTCCGCTAAAAAGACCTGACATCCGCAACTAGACCAGAATTGAGTGCTCCAAAATGCGTCTTCTTGATTTCCGGATTATGATAAACCATTCAAGCCCAAGCCTAAGCAGCCCCTGCCCGTTGGATTAACCATCGTCTTGGCATCGTCCATCAAAGTGTCGTCTATGAAGCAGTTTCGGGATGAAAACTTTCAGAATCTTAGAACATTTGCCAATGTTCATCTACAAAAAAAGATCAGTTTTCTTTATATTGTGTTTACTAATTTTCTAGAATTTACTGTTTATGTGGGTGTATTTGTGCTCGGAGGAGATAACCCATGTATATGCACGGTTACACTCCTTGATGGACTAATTCTTCCCTTGTAAAGACCTGAAAAACCTATGGCTGGGAGCTTAGTACGGATACAAAGCGAAACAAATAGCAGAGAATTTTCTTTTCCGCAATCGAGCAATTGTCGACTTTTGAGTGTGTTAACGTACACACGACTTATGATGATGGCGATCTGATTGAAAGAACAAAAACCACATGACAACCATTTGTGTGTTTGGCGATGACAATGATGTGGTTTCTTGGGCACTTTTCTCGACAAAAAGACTTGGATCCAGCACGCCATCGATCGCAGCTGTTGGACGACACGTACACGGCGTTACTTTTTCTATGTGTAAAATAAAAAGAAGAGAGCAAGTTGCTAATAGGACGAGGCTTGTTTGCATCTCATTGTAGCGTACGGCTCCGGGTTAGCGTAGGGATTAGTTTTTGTTAATCCCCAACTTGCAAGCCATAATTGACCCGTTCTATGCCTGTTTGCTCCTCCTCCTTTTTTCCTTACTAGTACTTTGCCGTGAGGATGCATGAACCAAATGGTCGATGGAGTGGCCACACGTCGACGGCACGGTGTGGCACGATCTAGAAAAATTGGGACAAAGACCAAAGGAAAAGGGGTGCGTGGGGAAGGAGCGTAGCGCGGCGCCTGCCGGTCAGGAGAATCCAGCAAATATCGGCATGGCGTGACCGGGAGGGATCGAAGGAACGAACGTAGCCATCCACGGGGTTAACTGGGAACATGTGTCGCCCGAGGGGGACGGAGAGAATCGTGGCTCGGATGGGTCATGGGATGGGTGGATGCCGCACGGAGAAAGTGGATGTAACTTGCACGACAACAACTCCTCCTCGACACATGGGTGGTGGATGGGGAAGCATGCACGCAGGCCGCGAGAGCGAGGTTTCAGCGCTCCGATTGGTAAAAGCATTTTCGATTTTCCAACAGGTTCGAGTCAATGGATTCTGTGTAGTAGTAGTACGTACTTGTCTTGGATTTGTCCAAGACAAGTAATTCGGAACGGAGTAGTAGCGAATGTGGAAACGTCGCTCCCCGCGAGCGGACCCTGCCCGCCGCCGCCGCCGCGGATGGACTCTTTTGCCGCCGGTCGAGCGAGACTCGTTAGGTGGTGACATTTTCAAGGTTGATTAAATTTATAGACAATACATTCAATATCTACAACACCAAACTAGTTTTATTACTTGTACCATATACTAATATACATACACAACATGGAACGAAACGAGTAGAGAATATCAATATGCTTGGGAAAAGGTATGATAACACTAGCTACAGCAGGTGACCTCAAAAACACAAATGCAACTGCTGGAGTCACAAGATCACGGACTAGAGAAGAATATATCATAAAACACAGACCCAAATGTGTGTCGGCCCATAGAAATCAGCATCAAACAAGCTACCCGTCTTTCATTTACCAACGAACATGGCACACGAGTAACACGCACAGAAACAGGAGCATATGGACAAAATCATCGCATGAGGTTACAGTTAAGCCTAAATTAAGCTCGAATATAACTACAATTAACGATAAATAAATAGGTAAAGTAGTACGCTCGATCAGTTATCAGCAACTCAACTTACTATCTGGGATCGGAAGGAAATTCTGTTGCAGTTCAAAGGTTTCTGTGCCAGGAACATCTCTGAACATTGATTTGCAGTACATAGGGGATAATACTGCAACGTGTGACTGACAATGACCTCGGCTTTACCAAGATGAAAGAAAATGGACTTGACAACGAAAGCAGAGGCATCCAAAGGCTACCTGACAAGCTGATTGCACAGGCTACCAGGGATAAATTTCACCAAGATCAGGCAAGGCAGTAATCAAAGGATCCATGGAGAAATTCAGTGCCGACTATAGTTAGCTTCGAGGGAGAAACCTATATTCTTTCTCTAATCCTGGCTAAGCAATCTGGTCCATATTGTACAAATGTGGGAGGTACAATACAACATGACATGAAACATCATCCACTACATCTACCCAGAATCCCAGAACGGCAAACTGGTCGCAAGTTCGCATCATAGGGAACCAGCAAGAAAAGAATCTGACGTGCTGACCTTCTGAGGAATGATGTTAGGCTTTTGTAAGTAGCCTTAGTTTCCTGTCATGCTTTATCATTGAACTTACAGTCTCTACAACCAACACGGTCTGTAAAAAAGAAAAGGCAAACATTAATTATATAATACATATGTCAAAAGGGCGAGTGAGAGAAACTATACATGCTACAATCCCTCAGATTTCTAAGTTAAGAAACACGACTACTAGCTGAGATGTTACCTGAAGGAACAATCAGTCAGCATTCTAAGGAACATTCAATATTGTGCTCACACAAAGGGATAGTTACCTGAAGGCAGGTATAAGCTAAACCAGTCGCGAAGTAGAAATTTGCGTTACCAGTACCCTGTGAACACTGCCATGTTAGTAACAGTACACAACATGTGTGTGTAGAAAGAGAGAGATAGAGAGAGAGAGAGACCCTCCAGATCCATAGGTTATGCATGACAGGGCTAAGGAGAGAGACTCCAATATATCCAAAAAACAAGAAGAAGGTGAACTGCATCTCTGCAGGATGGAAAGTTAAAGAGCAATAACTTCTTACAATATTACACACTAATTCAAAAATATTCGATAGCAGCAGTTTAGGTACCCGCTAATTCATTGGCGAATAGGCCTAGAAGTCCTAGATATAGAGCTGAATCTCCAGCCTTCAAGATAAGCATGAATTTAGGAATAAAAACAAAAGAGCAAAACATGAAACAAAACTAAACATCAACCTTATGCAGTCAAGGGATTAAATCCATCAGAAATACCATGTAAAATATACTCACCGAGGGATAAGATTTCAGCATTGCAACAATTGCTGTGTAAACAAAGGCAAGGAAGCACGGCCGATGCTTCAAACGGATAGCCAATGGCAAGACCATAAAAATGATGTTCATATTAAAGACTATAAGAAAGAAGCTTCTGAAGAAGTCGAAGACTTCGGCAAAGAAATACCTGCATTAATTCTCAAACGAATTAGATTAGTCAAACTATACTTGGGTTCCAATTACACTTTCTTAAGACTTACCATAACACACCAATATTTGGTGATAAATCTTTCACTGTAAGGATAAAACCATATGTCCTGCAAAACCAATGCACACAAGTCAATAATAGGCATTTGGTAACAGATAAAAGCCAGTCAATTGCAACGCACACAAGTCGATACTAGGCATTTGGTAACAGATAAAGGCAGTCAATTGCAACAAAAGACGATTTTGACTAAATGAGGCCCAACAACAAAGTTGAAATGTTGGGGAAATGGAGAGGATACCGATAATGCTGATAAGAGTACGCAAATATCCAAAATTAAATTGAATTCATAAATAAGACTTGTATTCATTTCTCCTTTAAAATTCACCATGAATGGGGGAAGTTAACAGAAAATGTGCTTCATTCTATAAAATGGAGCGGGGGAAACCCCTTTCATTAAAAAGAAAGGGTTAACAGAAAATATTACACTCTTTCACATGGTTTTGATGACTACAAAAGAATTAAATGGTCGAACAACTTACTTTTCAAACATCTCCTGAAGGCCACCCACTTTATTTAGAATAATGCTGTTCAATAACAGCACATAACATGACCAGATAAACACCCACAATATGAAGTGAAGTATTGGTTTCCATGAGAATTGTCCAAAACCTTTTTGGCTAGTACCTTTTCCATTATCTGACATGTCAATTTTATTGGCACTCAAGCCTTTTTGAAGAAATACTTTAGTTGGAGGAGTATCTGGACCATAACCCAATAAAAGAGCAACCTGAAAAACTAACAGTTGATCAGCAATGCAGATAAATGGCATGTACATACCATTGAACATTGAAAAAAAAATGGTTGTGACACATACAGGTAGAATGAGAATTGCAGGATAAAGAGAAAGGTGTGTTGCCATAACATATCCAAATGCAGCAAGCGGCGCAAGACCTATAAAAATTGCAAGGATGTTGCATTAGATTTGGGCAATTCTAGGTTGTCTGAAGATCATTGTACTATCTTCCATAAAAATGTTATTAACTGAGGATTTGCCAAATAGAAGCCAAACAATGAGGCAAACAACTAGTGTAAGTAATACTCCTTCCATCCCAAAATAAGTGTCGCTGATCTAGTACAACTTTAGTGCAAAATTGTACTAAGTCAGCGACACTTACTTTGGGACGGAGGAAGTATAAGAGATATATTGAAAAACCGAGAAGGCTAGAGGGAAACACGTTGAGTTTAACTTACGTGAACAGGCTCCATGTAACATTATCACGACCATTAAATTCTCAATTGGTGATGTACATGAACCCACACAGGTGATTATTGTCCAAGGGTTCCACAGATATATTAGAGAAGCAGTGTCTCCTGCGCTTACGTTCACTGTAAGTGTCAACAAACATGATAATCAGTACTATAAACAATTAGTAAGCATCACAAGCACAAAGCATCTGACTCAAAGAGAGTAATGTTCCATTCACACGTTTCCAGACAAGATTGTATATTTTTCGCTTACCAACAACAAATTCACACTATCAGGCAAGCAGAGGACTATACACATTAAATTCCACAAGGCAAATTCATATAACCCTTTTTATTCCTTGTAAAGGAAAAGTCAAAAAAGTGGGCTTCCTTCTTTAAGAAAATATAAAGCTTAGAATGACAACAACTACTTGACAAATAAAACATCTCTAAGATTTCACTTCCGGGGCTGTCCGTCACAAGTATCAAAAATTCAAAACCTTTTCTGATTGTTGGTACTTGGGAAAATAAGTAGAGAGTGGTGCCAAACAAAAGGCAAATTTAGCTCAAGATTCAATAAAGCACATCTCAAGTATAACATTAACTAGTATGACTCACCAGAATTGTTCACTGATTTTCTGAGGTCAAGAGACTTCAAACTTCTGTTACGTGCCATTTGGAGTGTACGCCCAGTTGATCGAATGAGCATAGCAGCTATAAAATCTACAGCCACAAAAACCAAACTGTGTTGTGCATTCATGAGTGTAATATTACATGACTGCCGGCAAAATGCAGAAGTCGTGAAAATGTTTATGGTTACATTTTTTTTGGTTTGAATGATACCATGGGCAAGATAAAGAACATAAAAAGTAAAGCCTAAGAAAACTGATTTTCTTCTATGAATATCAGGTATACTTGGACAAGTTATTAATCGTAGACAAACATATACTGGTTTAAATGAAAAGTACATAGCAACTTATTTACCTGCAATATATATGAGAATGGTGTCCACCTGACCTGTGACATCATGGAGTGTTAGAATGCTAACATTTTATATGGTGATCTGGTCAAATGAAGAGACATAGCAAGAGTGGCGACATCAAAGAAATGATCAAAGAAGCATCAAAACGAAGGACCTATCACCTTTTGCTGGTTAGCGGACCAAGAACTGATAGAAGCAAAGGGGAACCATGATACATCGAACCTGAAAAACAGATCACTCAACAGGCTGGACCATCATTTACAAGTACAAACTGTTAACAGATCAACATTACAAAGAGCAAAATATCATGGCTAATTGCTAAGATTTATGATGTAATCGCAAGAAGCATCTAGGTCTCTGATGCTAAGTAGGAGTCATTCAGTCATATCATATTTCATCCATCAGGAATTATCAGTAGTTCATTACAGAAAAATGAACATGAAATAATGTCTATCAGTATTCAGTAGAAACCCAGTCAAGCATTTTAAAAATTGCTCTGTAATACTCCCTCTGTTCCTAAATATAAGTCCTTTTAGAGATTCCAATATGGACTACATACGGAGCAAAATGAGTGAATCTACACTCTAAAATATGTCTATATACATCCGTATATAGTCCCTAGGGGAAATCTCTAAAAAGACTTATATTTAGAAATGGAGGGAGTACTACCTAATAATACCACCTCCCACCCAACTATCCTGGCCTCAAAATTTGGGCCATTCTGTTGCAAATGTGAAGTGCTAAAAGTTAGCAAAGCGATCAAAGAGGGGAGGTGCGTAACGTACCGGAATAGGGTGACATGGACGCCTGCTTCAGCCAGTAACCTTCTGCCACTGCAACATACACAGGAGGCAAACGAGAACGCCGACATCACAAAAGGGCTGGGGTTTGCAGGGCAAGGACTGAGAGCAAGGAGGTGTGCTTACGGCGGCGGAGGGACGTGAGGGGGGTGGAGACCTCCGGGCGGGATGCAAGGTGGAGGTCTCCGCCGAAGAGCACCAGAACGAGGCGGAACCCAACGGCTGCGACAGCCATCGACCAGTAGTGTCGGATCGCCATCGCCGCTGATCAGTGGTGGGTCTAGGATTTGTAAATATGACATGTTAACATACTAATTATAATTTACCAATAGCACTATCATAATCCACCTGATTGGACACGGCAAATTCTGTGTAAAATCATAATTCACCTGATTGGACACAGCAAAAATTTACATTCTAGTATCAATCATGATGACATAATTGGACACAGCGAAAATTTACATTCTAGTATCGTTTATGATTCCCTAAAAAAAATATCAATCATGATGACATAATTGGACACAAGAAATTATGTGCAAAGTTATGTGTATGTGTTAATGTACGTGGCAGATAGCACTGTCATAATCCACCTGATAGATAATCCATGAATGTAAACCTTAAATTCGTAATGAGACCAACCAAAACTTGGGGAATGGAGAAAAGGCACCTCAAATTGGCTGGCCGCTGCAACTGCACACCGCCGGCCGCAGGGCAGGACTGCTGCCGAGTGCGGAATGGGCGGCTGCCGGGCGCCGACTGGCAAGGCCGCGGTGCGGCGGTGGGCGACCGGTGGGTGGGGCGGGCAGGGGCGCTGGGTGGGCGCTGCGGGCAGGGCCGGCTCTTTGCCTCCTGGCAACCGGTGGCGGCGACGGCGTGCGGCGAGGCAGGCGGCGAGCCTGCGAGATCGGGAGGAGAATCGGGGACGGGAGTCGGAGTCGGGAGTCAGTGGGTTTCTCTTTTTTTTTAGCGGTGGGAGCAGAGCTGGCCCACGTGCCTTGCTTCCTGGCCCAGGCGCGGCACATTTAGTAAACGAGCCAGCCCGTGGAACGTTGTAGCACATTGGGTTGTGTGGTCACGGGAGCGGCTCCTCGTCATTGGGCCATTAAGAGCATCTTCAGCCGTTGGGCCCTTAGGAGGCGCTAAAAATCGTTCCTGGGACGCATCGGCGATA